AGAAGAAGCTGAAGATCTTGCTTGGTGGTTATCAGTCTCGAGCAATGGGCCTCATCAAACAGTTGAATGATTTGTGGGACCAAATCGAACAGGCACATCTGGAGCTGCGGACTTTTGAGGAACTGAAGAAACATGAAGATGCTGCAATCCCTCGGAGACTGGAGGTGAGATTCCTAAATGTAATACCTCAGGTCAAATACAGGCACTTTGTGGAAAAGATGGTTTTGCAACGCACAGCCTCTGAGGTTCACAACCAGAGTTTGTATCTTGTTTTTAATGGTCTTTTTAGATTACACTTTTCGCTATTACCAGACTCCTCTGCTGTTCACTTCAATATCAAAGATTCTGTGATATATATATATATATTGGAAGCTGGGACTGATCTACTAGTGTGTTCTTTAACTTTGTTTTTATTTTATTTCCTCATGTGGTTGCTTTTATTAATCTTCTGCAATGCATATAGGCAGAAGTTCCATATCTATCTTAATTTGGCTTGTTTTGCTTTTAATTACTGTTAGAACTTAGGGTAGATCTGAAACTTGTGTAAAGCCTCCTACTTCCTTAAAAGTCAGTGTACCAAATGCCAGTATACGCTACAGGAGATTCTCCTTTCTTTTCACATGTTGATTGTGTTACTCCCTGAAGCCAATGCTGTTGTCAGACTTGCAGATGGTCGGACTTTTAGAAAGCCAGTACTGAAGTGGGGTTATTGCACTGATTTAAACATGGCTCTCTCAGTTTCAGAAGGCGAGCAGTTATCCTGTAATGATAGTTTTGAGCCATCCTGAGAGTTCAGGCCATTTGCCTGCAGTCCTGTTGCTGGCTGACAACGTGTGCATGTGTGATCTGGACCATTGCTCCTGAATAACAGCACCTGCCTTACTGGCCTCTAACTGGTTGGCATGGCTTTGAGGAGGAAGCTATCCTCTTAAGCAGCCTTAACTTCAACTTTAAGGACATGGTTTAGTGGTGGGATGGCAGGGTTAGGTCAACAGTTGGACTTGATGATCTTAAAGTTCTTTGCCAACCTAAACGATTCAATGATTCAACCTGGAATTAGTGAAAACAGGTAGACTGAGCTACCTGAAAACAATGCCTCAGAGCCACTGTTCTTAGTTTAAGAGTCTCCAGGATATTCTTCTCCTCTTTATTCAGCTAAGAAGGCAACACTCAACCAAGACTCAGTCCTAGGCTTGAGCCAGTGCCAGGCTTGCTTTCCAAGAAACAAGTACTCATCTGAGCATAATTTTACTTTTTTTTCTTCTTTTCTTCCGGAAGAGAGGGTTTGGTTGAGTCTCAAATCTTCTCACCCACTTGCTATAAAAAAAGATAGTGTATCAGTTCTTAAAACTGATTTCATGAAGGCAGTTTAGAAATGCTGATAGATGTATTTAAAAACTCAGAAGTGATTAACTGATTTAATGAAAGTTAACAGTAAAAAAAGTATTAAATAGCTTGATAGCTACTAATAGCACCTGTTTTTAGTAAACGGCACTTTACTCGGGGCTAATCCTCAGAATACGTGATACAGGAGTGAAGGGAGATCAAATGAACTGGCAGCTGGCAGTTGTAGAACAAGCAGTAGTTCTCCTTCATGCACTGTGTAGTTAGTGGAAGAAGGCCTGTGGAAGGCCTTGTGGCAGGATGCAGGGTTGATTAGGAAGGTTACCCCAAAAAGGTTTGAACAGCCTCATGGAAGAAGAATCCATGGATAACTGTTAAATACAGTGCACTGCTTGTGGCAAGCTTCCAACTTGAAATCTCGTCCTTTTTGAAGCATTTGATATTAACTGCTGTCAAAACCAGAGTAAGATACCTGACATTGGAAGGAAGATAACTGTGATTCTTGATACTCTGCATCAACTGCTGTCTTTTATATTTAAAAGAAGTAATTTTAGCAATGTCCTCTTTCAGTTCTCACCCCTTCCTCTGAAGAAACTTAAAATACAACCTCTGGTAAAGATCTTTGTGAGTGTGACTACTGGAAAAACTAACTGGTTGCTTAATTATGTTTTCCTTACAGTGTCTGAAGGAAGATGTGCAGCGACAGCAGGAGAGAGAAAAGGAGCTCCAGCAGAGATTTGCTGACTTCATGTTGGATAAAGAGACTTTTCAAGCAAAGTATTAAAGCACAAAATTCCATTTGTCACTGATGCAACATTTTTAAAGTGTACAGATACTTCCCCAGCAGCTTTTGCCATCGGTTACAGAAATCAAGTGTAGTCTGCTGTTTGCATCTTGTCAAGTTTTGTTCCTTTAATGGACTATTCCAAATGTTCTAGGTGTGAATGGCTTTGGCCAGTATTAAAAATTGGATTGAAATGTCCAAAATTTTATTAAAAAAAACCCCAAACCCACTCTGGTATGATTTTAGCCATGTCTTCATTTGCTAGGGTTATCACATTATTCCTAGTGTTTTATCAGTCTTAAGACCTGTAAGATACGTGCCTGCAGAATAATGTCTTTTGAATAAACCTGGAATGTTAAAAAATAATTAAGAAATAAAATGCTTGTCTCTTAACTAAAATTGAATCCTCCCCTACCCCAGGCCTCGTTAGTGTTTCTGGTAAACTGTCTTTCTTCCCTTCCCCTGTTGCTGCTTTTCCAAGGCTGTAATTTGCAGTAGGAATGACCTGTGCAGGGTAATTGTGGTCCGTGTAGTACCGTGTTCCTGATTCTCCTCTGTGCATGTGACTAAACACTCCCATTTTTATCAAGGTGTTCAAATGGTCGTACTGACAGTAAGCATGACTTCACCATCCTGAAACAGGGTAAGTTTAAGAAAACTTAAAAAAAAAAACCCAACTTACAAAAGTACCCAGCATAGCCTAGCGGTTACCACGGCTTTCAGCAGAAAATGTACCCTTAACTCTTCGAAGTATTAATGCTTTTAAAGTCATCCATCCGTAGTGCATGTTCCCTCCATCCGGTCGATGAACCTTTTTCTGCTGACTTTTATACAGTGGGCTGAAGGACCTGGGTGACATCAGAGTTCTTGGCCCAGCCCTTGCAGAAGATGTTGTGGAGGCGATGTCTGTGCACATCACAAGCAGAGGAACTCAGTTGCTCGTTCCCTTCGGTTTTTAGAATTGTCCTTTGCTCTGTTCTGGCTCTGTGTCTTCAAAGTACCTCCAGGTCACAGTTTGTGAATTAGTGTAGGCCAGGGACACGGGGAATGCTCGGTAAGCAGTGAGGATGTGGTTGCCCCTGGTAGCTTCATTGCATGTGTCCGTGCTGTGCCAGTTAGCCTGAGTGCTTGGGAGCATGCCCTGGACGTTGTTTAGTTTACTGCTGCAGACATGGACACATCATCTCACCGGGTCACCGTTGCACGCCATCGTTTCGAGGTTCATGGAGCACATCCTGAGCATATAGTACTTGTAAGATCCTTGGTAGTAGTTCCTCTTGCTCCTTGAGAGTTGGTTACTCGGCGTGCTGCCTTGCCCAGAGCAGCCATGGGATGAGGTGGAGAAAAGCTCCCTGTGTCCTCCTCCTCTCCCCTTACCACATCTCAACAGGTTTTCGTTCTCTCGCTGCTTTGACTGTTCTTCAGAAGTGTTAGGATGGGGTTGTTGTAAGGGGTGAATGCGTTATTTCTGTTCATTGAGGTACTTCTGTAAGCCTCATCCAAAATCTGAGTACTGTCCAGTCAGACCCCACGTGACCTAGGTGTCACCATTGAAAATTTTGTCAGCTATTCCCACCCCTTTCAATACATGCATTTGCCAGTCAGGCATCTCCTTAGAGGATTGCTTTCATGGTTTTTTTTTGTGGAAGTGTTCATCACTTCTTCAGGGATCCATCTTATTTCCAGCTCTTACGCTTTGGGTCTTTTGAGTAGTCGTTTGTGGAAATGCATAGGGAAAAAGGCAGAACTGTATTGTTAGCAGCAGGGAATTCAGCAATTAAATACATCCAGTTGCGTGCATCGTGCAGTTCTGTGTATTTGAACTTAAGTGAGGACGTCGCTGTTTGCAATTTTACCGTGTTATGGAATGTCACTGTGTTTAGGCTTTGGGAATATTCCTGGGGGATGCTGTCAGGGTTGTGGTTGTGTAGCTGCTTAAATGCCATCCAAGGTGATCAGTGGTAATTGGAGATGTTTTTTTAATGGCAACCTGTCTGATTTCTGCTGATCGCCGGTGGGAGTAGGTACACAGCCTTGGAATATCTTTCCCTTTACGCACCAGGACATCATTTGTCTAAAGTATTAATGCAATTATAGGCTACGTACTTCTAGCAATGCGTTAAATATTTAACGGAACCAGAGCACATCTGGAAAGAAGTATTAAGCATCAATCTTTTAGCATATGGGGTATTTTAGCTTGGATGGTTATACCCAAAAGGAAAAATCATATACATGCATATCATGACCGTTCTCGTGGTTGTGTGGTAGCTGGAGATATTAACAGAAAACCCTTGTAGGTTTACCAATACCACAACTACAATTACGTGCTTTCTTTTTAGGGCTGCAGCAGAGCCTCTTTGATGTTTCCAGAATTTCTGACAGTTTTGGAGCTAGGCAGGTATTTAAATACTCTGCCTTAGCAAATATTTTTAATGGCAAATTGAGAAGGACCGATAAATCGCAAAAGACTTTTTCTTTCTTGAAATGTGCACAATTAACCAGTCGTTAATTGTAGCAGAGACTTATTTGTAGCATGTAACGCCACGCGTACGAGGTTATTATATTTCAAAGGTATCCGCAGGTTTGGTCGGTGTTTTCTCCAGCTCAGTTTCTTTAGACAACGCTTAAGCCAGTTCACTGTTTTCCCTGTCTCTACTCAAGAGTTTTTGTCCTGAAGTTTCTGCCTGTCACAATAAGGAAACGAAGCTAATGAAACCGAGTTTCTTGCCTTACATAAAGCTCAATTGTGCCCTGCTTTGGCTTTTTACCTGCCCTGAGCTGCCAGGAAATCCTGCTGTGAGCCAGGGCGAGACCCTTTTGGTTCAGAAGGTACTCGAGGCCCTGTGGTGCTGCTTGAGCTCAGGAAGCGTGCTGGAGAAAAGCCTTCTCCAGCTGGGGGCCCTAAAGGAGCCAAGCTGTAATGGGGACGCTAGCGACCAGAGGACGGAAAGTCCAAAGGTGATGTCAAGCTACAGAGACTCCCTCTTCCCCATCTTCTCCTCATCCTAGGTAACTGGGAATAGAACTTCGGGCCTTCGCTTTGCAGACACAAACTGTTGGCAGAGGTGGGACTGTGGCACCGCTCCTGCCTCCTTCTCCAGGAGTAGTCCAACACCATGGGACAGTAACGTCACTGGCAGATGCTTAAGGTGGTGTTGGAGTTTGTTAGTCCTGGGTATCATTTGCAGCCTCAGTGCCCCCTCTAAGGCAAGCCAGTCTTGGATCTGCTGAAATCACCCCGAAAACTTCACACTGGATGCTCTGTGCATGTGCTCATTGGATTCAGAGTGATGTGAATGGAGCAGCAGAGCCTGGCTGGGATATCCCAAGATCAAGGAATTCAGGTGTGGTAGCTTAAACTGGAGCACTTAGGACATTTGTTCAACCAAATTTGGATGCTGGTAGATGTCAGTGCTTCCAACAGCAGGTGGTGATGGAGCTTGGGCTTTCTAGACCTCTTTCTTGGGCTTAGGCCCAGTTTACGTCCCAAACAATGCTCCCTGAATCGCTTCCTAAAATGCATTGTAATTAAATACAGATGTTGGGTGGACACAAAAGTGACCAGCACACCTTGACACCAAATTCTTATTTTAAACTCCTGAAGCCAGCCACTAATTTGGGCTTTGTTTCCAAGAACAATAGTCAGTATAACCACAAACAGTTAACGGTTTACTGCAGTGGGTAAACCCTAACCTGAGTGAGTGACAGAGGTGGGATGGGGGTTGTGTTGTGTGTGTTAACAATTTCTTTCAAGAATTCTTTAGCATTCTCCCTGAGAAATTCCTTCATTTCCATTTAGCACGCCAAGATCTATCTGCAAGACTTTAAAGAATTTCAGCTGATGATTTTCCTCCCTTCCTGGAATCAGGCTTGGCATTTACATATTGGATCAATCCCGTAGCTGGAGCCTGCTTCAAAGTCCATGGAGTCGATAAGATGGTCATTTACTTCAATTGAGTTGGATCCGGGTACCTGGGAAAGCTAATAGGACAACAGCTGAGCGGCTCCTCCGTACCCGGCAGATAACAAAAATCAAGCATGAGCTAGAGTTAAGGGGGAGACTTTTCTAAGGCACAGGAGGTTCCCTGTGAGAAATCCAACAGAGCTGGATCCAGCTCTTCAAAACATGGCAAATCTCCAGAGAAATAAGCACTGTTTTAACGTTGCAATTCGTCACTCCAGCCAGCAATGGCCGAGATAGGGACTTACAGGGCCAAGAGAAGGAGCATCTTGTCTTTGCCCATTGCTTTGGTCTGCTTTTGCACCCTTGTTTGCTGGCGCAAGCATTGGGGCAGCCACATTTGGTTTAAAATGTGTTGATCCAGCTTGGTTGTCCAATCCCTTGTACAGACATGAGTTGGGCCAAGTTTTGAGGTAGGAAATGCAAGTGAAGGGGGGAGTGGGGCAGAATTGCCTCCGTCAGAGGCCATCCCACCTCACTGCCTGCTTCAAGCGACCGTGAAACGTGGTCCGCAGTGCTGCAAGGCAAGTAGGTAACATGAGGTCAATGGTTGGACTTGATGATCGTAAAGGTCTTTTCCAACCTAGATGATTCTATGAGGCAGCTGCCCACAATTAGGCACTCTAAGCGATTCAGCTGCATCTGAGCCCCTGTTGATAAATGCTGGAGATTCATCGCTCTTTGCAAACATGGCCTGAAGGGAGATTTCTAAATAAAATGTATCAAAACCCATGTCTGGACTTTTTGGTTTGGCTGCAAACTAGCTAGCAGTATCTTAAACTAGTGTGTGAACTTTGGCTTGCCTGCAATCTCCCAGGACAGTGATGTTGCTGGGGAAGATGACATTAATGTGGTCTGGACTTAATCTGCCTCGCATTCATCTCAGGAATCCAGCTTGCAGTTATCTTCCATTCCATGGGTTCAAAGCAACACCTGTCTTCCAAGCAGGATTTAGAAGTGAAGTATCAAATAGCATTCCCCTCATTTTTTTTAGCTGAGTGAAATGCATGTTGAAAAATAGCCAGATACTCGTCTAAAAGCAAAGTGTCCTCATAACCGATTCCAGACTTTCCGATTGCTGCCTTTCTAGGATTCCAGCTTTTTTCTACCTTTTTTTACCTTTGCTTACGAGCAAGAGAATGCCTGCTTCTGCTGGTCTTGAAGACTTGCACTCACATTCACTCACATGGGAGCAAGAGTCAGACCCTGATCAGAAAAAGACTTTAAAAAATGTGCTTAACGTATACGTAAGCCAATCCATCCATGTATCTCTACTATGTGTGTACAACTGTCCCACCGCTTTAAAAATTCAACACCGTCTTTAAGTGCTTTGGTGAATTGGGGCCTTAATGACTTTGAAGCAGAGGGGAGCAGCAGTGGATAAATCGAGAAGCTTCGCTTTTTTGGTTGCAGGCAGGCACTGCCGTTAGGTAAGCCTCTCCTCTCCCCTCCAGCTGGCCTATGGCTCATTAATTTTCTGATGTATTTAGATGAGGTGGCTTTAACCAATTCCCGCTGCCTGAGGCGTAACGGGGATCCACACGGTAGGTGGAAAGGCACAGAAGTGGGTACGAGCAGTGTTTTACAGCATCACTTCTGCGGCCGGGGTGATCGCTCATAGTGGGTTTGATTGTTTGCCAGTTGTTGGGGGGTGTGAGTGTTTTCTGGGTTTTCTTTGTAATTTATTAAGAGATGCCTTAGCGTCAGTGCTAGAAAAATCTCGCTTTCAAGTCAAAGTCAAAGGTTTTTCACATACCAGCTTAGACAGGGTCTGCCTCATTAGATCACTTTCAGGTTTCCAAGTTACAACTGTGGCTCTGATGTATTTGGATTCCTGAAAGATTCCTCCAAGGAAATGCACGTACCTCTTTTAAGATCATTTATGTACATCGAAAGCATTTACGAATTGTGACGCGAGGAAACACAGACTATTTTATTATTTATTCAGTTCATATATCAGATCTTTTGCCAAGTACATGCTACAGGTAAATGCCTCACAGGATCAGACAAACGTGTGTGTTAGGTTCCCCTCTTCTCCTCCCACTCCCTCCCCTCTCCCAGAGAAGAAATGTGGGGTCTATTTTGTATAATTATCATGCCAGTAGCATTTTAAAGCGTGTTATGTAGCTTAGGTGAGATTGTGGCCCCAGTGAAACCAATGGGAGATTTGGCTTCAACTTCAATGAAGCTGAGATTTCCTTTCCTCTCCTCTCCTGTCTGTATTTGATGAGCCTTTCTGTCAGGAGAAGAAAGAGATCCTCTCTTGAAAAATAGTCATAGATGCTTAATAAAGCTCAACGAGCCAGCCAGGATTATGTTTTTAGCTCTATGGCCAGCAAAATCTATTCCAGAACTAATTCTGATTAAAAGGACTGAATGTACTGGTTGAACCTCAGACACAAAGGCACCCCTGGAGTAATTCAACTGTATGAGATTTATTTTTTTATTAAACTAATTATTGCACTGATCTTTATAAGATCTGGCCCTTGTGTAAAGCATTGATTTCAAAGCTGTCTCTCTCTTATCTATTAATGTTCGTGAATTATTTTAGGGCTTGGGAAGTACCATCGCTGTAGCTGGATCTTAAAAAAAGAGTGAGTTTACTGGCCACATTAGTTAATCTGCATGGCAGGCCATAAAATGACTATAAATAGAAGTCAGATTATTCCATAGATTGTGTCCCCCCACTTTTCTTTCTTAATTCAAACTCAACCAAATAAATCTCTAGCACAGAACAGGCTTGTCCCTCCTTGGTCTGTGCTCCTACCAAAGGACTTTCCGGGGTTTGGGAAGAGGAAGAGTCTTTCAGTAGGCCGTATAGATGGAGAACACAGATATTCATGAAGTCCTGAACTCTGGAACTAGAATCTCACCTCCCTTTTCCAGCTGGTTTCTTAAAAAATGCTCTCCCTTCAAACCATGCTGCTTCTATGTCCTTAGCTCATCCTTGCTGCAACAGTGACCTCAAAGATTCTTATTCCCTTTTTTCCTGGTGTTCTAGTTGAAAAGAGACAGTGCTGGTCATCTTGGTTTAAGTTTAGAGGAAAACAAGACAAAATATAGGAGCAGTAAGTCTTTTGGCAAAAGAAGAGGGAGTTCCTTCAATATTAATGTCCCCCAGCTCTCAGACATTGGTGGATCCCCTGTGCTTCAGAAATCCCTCTGTTGGCCTGGAGTGAAGGAGCTCTGAGCGCAGACCCTATCTGGTCATGGTCAACGTGCTTATTTTTCATCACTGTGGATGAGCTGAACAAGGCTCAGATACCCTGACTGCACCATTGCCTGGTGACTTGGGAAACAGGAGAGGTGGGTTTGATAGGTCTCAGCTCTGTGGGCTAAATCCCAAAGGTATTGCTTTCTGGTGCATCTTCACATGTCTCAACCCAGCCTTGGGCTTTCTGGTGTTCCAGAAACCTGCCTCCTTACCACGTGATAGCTCCATGGTTCTTCTTTTGGCCACGTACACCTCTGACCAGCAGCCTAACAGGACTCACACGTGCACCACTTGCAGCCACTTGGCCAAGCTGAGTCCTGTCAGGTCACCAACCTGCATAGCAGTTAATGGAGTAGGGACCCAGGTTACTGGAAGAGCAGAAGGAAAGCCTCACCACCCCTGGCTGTGTCAGGGCTGAAGCACTCCCTTAGGGAGCCAGAGCAAAAATCCTGAAGATGTAATCTGAGCAGAGCACAAACCCTGCTTTTCTCCAGGCCAGGGAAAGCCCCAACCTCTCTCCCTCACCCCCTTGGGGTGTTTACACCCCATGTATTAAATGGAAGGTCATTGCTTTAGAGGGCCCTGGACAGTTTCTGTCCCTGTGCTGGCAGATGTTTAGTCACAGGAGTGTGTCATTTCTGTATGACAAAGTGCCTTTCCGGAGGAGGTGCCAAACCTTCAGCACCATCAGGAATTTGAAGGTCTGGACCTTTAGTGACACTTTTGCCAGTTCTGGAGATCGACCACCCAGCATCACTATGTTGCCTGGAGAGCATCCAAATTCCAATGAAGGCTGAAATTTTTGGCTCTGGCTTCCTGCCTGGTCTTTAGGTAGGAAGGTGGGAGTAGCTGGGCATCCTCTACCTCACAGAAGGATTGTACAGAAAGGAAAAGAGGCTCAAAAATTGTATTTTATGTATTTCACATTTGCTATGGCACCTAGTGTGGATTTTATTCTGTCACTCTTCATAGTGGCAATGCTGCCAAAGTCCAGGCAAAAAAATGTCCTTGAACCTACTATCAACATAAAATATCCCACCGAACTCTAAAGCACATTAAACTGGGAGTGAACTGAATCATGGGGGCAAGGATAGAGCAGTGAATCCAATTTCCTAGCAGGTCCTATAATGTATTGTTAGCAGCAAAACAACCCCTCCAGCACTGTACTTAACTTTCTTTTATTGCAAATGCCTTTTGGTTAACAGCAAGGATCTGTTTTAATTTTACAGTTACCCAGTGACCACAGGACGCAGATTGTGCATCACCAGGGAATGCACAAACGTCTGCCTGCCTTCCCTTGTTCCAGCAGTAATGAGTGATGGCAGGAGCACAGCCAAGCCCATGCGGCCACGCAAGGGGCGGCTGTGACAGTAATTGAAGAAACTGCTGAATCAGCCAGAAGAACAAGGGTTCACAGTGAAGGCTTGAGCCAGGCAGACACACGTCTTGGAAACACCAAGCAAAAGATAACCATGGCCAAGAGGAGAGGTCAAGAGATGCGAGTGGGTTGGGAGGCACCTACTTGCCTACTGGGAAGTCCTCTTCCACAGGACAGCGGGTTGCCAGGCCTTTGGTGTTGGAAGGGACAGATTTTTCTAAAAGACTTCCTTGCCTTTGGATGCAGAGATACCGAGCAGTACCTCTGGAAGTCTTGAAGCATAAGTATGGATGTAGTCATGGTCTCATACGCTGTGATGAACTCCAAACTGGGCGCTGGGTTATACCGTACCTGGGCCTTCTGGGGACACTTTGGCTTGTGCAAATCGTGGTGGTGTTTAGACTAGAAAAAAGCCTCCAGCCTAGGCCAGTTCTGGGCAGGTTTGTGACAAAGAAATGAGGGGGCCTAAGGACTGCAGAGAGCTTTTGGGGCCAAACTAGCTAAATTCTCTGCAAGTCCCACTTGCAAGCACATAGGTCTTGCTGTTGATGTCACCCAATGTACTTGCGCTATCTCTGGAGTCTTCAGGAACACAAATCCAGCATCTTTGTCCCACTGGTTCCAAGGAGAAGCAGACACCCAACCTGTTTGGACACTGTTGAGAAGAGTCCATGGCACAAAAGGAAAGTTGCTTTAGGGAACTGGCTGAAAAGGTTCACAGGAATTTTAACCTTTCAGACAGACTAACTTATCTGCAGTGGCCTGAGTATCCAAGGCTGTCTGACCAAAGCCAGAGACAGGGCTTTAAGGAGGCTTGAACAGCTTCCTTCGTAGTTTGATGCTATTTGACATCCAACCAGACCAAGTCAGTAACAGGTTGAGAAGGTAACAAATGGGAAGAAAGCATGGGCCACAGACTGACCTGCCTGGGCACAGCATGGATAAGACCCATTTTTGCTAAATTTGCCTCAAGAAGGGGGGATTCCCCAAGCAACCATGAGACCCTTCTTGCATTAATGGTATGGATGACACCAGATTGCTACGACTCACCTTGCTGAAAGCTTCTTTTAGCTCTTATACCCCTGCTCATCGATTCAGCTTGTCGGAAGGGTCCCGTGCCTGTTGCTGGCGATGGCCAAAGGCAATCTCCAAACCCCAGCT